GAGTTGTTGATTAGTTCTTAATTTTAAAGCAAGCGAGCCTGAATACTTTGTAAGGATATAGTAATGGGACTTGCTCATTTCTAGTTTTATCATGCTCTGCCTTTTTCCTCATCCTGACTCGTACTTTTTTTTTTTAATTCTATATGCCATTGGGCTTGCATGGATTTCTATGTGTGCATTTATTCTTATAGAAATGTTAATGACATCATAACTAGAGCAGACTTGAGTGTTAGTATCTTCAGATGATGAGAAATAAGGAAAAATTGGAATCAGGAAAGGACTGATTTCTGGGGAAATTGATTTGAATTGTAGAATTGATCTTCATGGGCAGGATAGCCAGCAGTTGAATGCAGCATATCCAGGAGACTGGCAAATGTAGGCTATTGTCATTAGAGGGGGAGGAGTGGTATAGGGAGGGCTACATCAGTGAGCGCTGCTTGAAGTCAGGGAGCTGCCCTTTCACTATCTTGGAGTCAAATCTTTTTAGAGCAGTGTCTTGCCAGGACTAATGTATGCAGAATATAGGATTTAGCTTCCTAGGGAGGGATTCATAGGTGCTAGAAGAGGCATCTAGAGAAGCTATTCAGTCAGCTGTGATAATGAGAAAATGAATGCTGGGAAGAATCTCTAGAAATATAGACTGGACCGTTAAGAGTAGGAGACTGTCTAGACCCAGAGACTATCATGGGAGCAATTCATTGTCTAGCCTTTTAAGCTGCTTGGGGAAGTGTGCCTATTACAGCTTTACCTCTTTAAGACTCACTTCCCTTTCTTCATTAAATCGGGGAACTTATTGCCTAACCTGGAATATTTTTGTGCAAATGAAATGAGAAAATTCATATAACATGTGTTGTTCAGCCCCGAGAACACAACAGGTCCTAAGGAAATGTATGTGTCCATTCCACGTATTGACTTGCTGGGACATGCAGGGTCCAGTACTCCTCAGAAAATGGATGGGCCGAATCTTAAGGTAAAATGTGCCAGTAACAACAAAGACAGTACATACAGGCCTGAAGGAGATGGGAGAGACAGGGAAGATGGCTTGCTAGCTAAAAACGTCTTTGACCAGCATGATTGCTGCATCCACTGGGAGCAAGCAAATGAAAATAAGTAAGCTAAAAGAGCAGGCAGAGAGAGTTAACAGTAAATGATAGTACAAACTACACACGCTGTAGTGCTAAGAGACAGGTACCTCTCCAAGCACTTTACTTTCCCCTATAAATATTCAGGGTAAGTACTATCAGAGGCCCCTTTATAGATGTGAGGCTGAGATGTTGGAAGGTTAGGTTATGCAGTTAAAAAGTAGTAGTGCTTGGATTCAGACCAGCAAGAATTCCCTGATGGTCTGTGATTTCGGACACCAGAAGGGATGACTGGACAGACACTTAAAGCTGTGGGAGTCCAAAACGACTGCTAGAGTTAGGATACTTGAAATACAATCCTGCCTGAATAAAGGAGAATGGATTAAATCAATAGTTTCCTACAAGCTGTCCTCAGACCAGGCCATACTAACTGAATCAGAATCACCTAGAAATCGTTTTAGAATAACTGCTGCTCAAGCCTTATCCCTGGAGACTAACTCACAAGGTATCAGTGGTCCCAGGAATTAGTGTTTAAAGGCTGCCAAGGTGATTTCTGAGAAGCAGCTGCTCTTGGGAGTCTCTGAGACAAACAGCTTTTCAAGTTAGTTTTCCTATCCCTGACTCTACTAGGCCACCTTTATTTTCATTTTTGAATTTAGAAAAGTAGACTCTGAAGTTGAGATGTGCTCAGATTGGAATAATTGATCTGGGCTCTAGTTAGTTTCTTGATTCGGATGGTGCAGATAACATTCTAGTGCTTTCGGCTGAGACAGTGCTTTGAGAACTGAGGATGAGAACGGAAGATCTCACAGGCAGCAAGGCCCCTGGCTGGCCACTGGATGGCATCCCTGTCCTTTCTTTTCTTGCAGAATTTCTGCTTGGAATTCATAGCTCTTGTTAGGGTGCTCCTGCGGCCTCTTGCCAGTATCTGTCCTTACAACAATGAAAAACAGTGAGTGGAGCCCACCAAGCCCCTTGACCAGCAGGGATGTGATTTCAGACCCAGGTAGGCCCTGTGTGAATGTCCAGAACAGCACTTTTTAAGGTGAAGGAAGGCTTTTCATTTTATAAAAACAGCCTCCCCTGTTTTATTCTGGGATATGCTTATAGGTCATGCTTTGAATGATGAAGAATGAAAATGTTAAAAGGAAGTCCAGGAAAGATGACCAAAAAAAAAAAACAGATTTTCAGCATGGAAAATATTTGAGCCTATGATATAGGTTAATGAGAAAAGAAAATCTGTTTATATCTGATTTTTGAGGCAATATAGTGTTCAGCGGCCAAGGTTGTTTGTTTGTTTGTTTTATTTACTGCCCTCTGGTGGAAACATATTAGAAATTTAAGCTTTTAAAGATGTCCAAGATAGAGGGGAGCAGAGTCCAGTTGTACTTCAGAGATGGAGTCCTGGGAAGTTGAAATGAATTTTCTGTTTAGAAAGCTACTTTGAGACAGGGCCAGTTGCTTTGCTCAGAGAAACATTAAGCAGAATCTGTCATTTGGTTTAAATTTTTATACCATTCATATGATCAGAGAGCACACACACACAAAAGTCTGATTAGAAAAAGTGGTATTGGGATGTGCTTGTTGGAACCCTGCTTTCCTGTTGCTTTCATTTTGTTCCAGTGTGTGCTGGGGTAAAACATTGGGATTTTAAAATTGTTTTGCATTTCTGACCTTTGATTTGTGCCCTCAGTCTTCTCATATTTTATGAAATTTCTTACAATGTCCAAAATATCCTTTCTTAGGCAGCTTTGCTTTTCTGGAATATACTGTGATCATGCTGGTCTTTATTTGAGGTTGCCTTGCTGACAGGCTATAGTTTTTATTAGAGTCTGGTTTATGCACTAGGAGGAAGGCCAAACCTGATTCCTGGAATTGAACCCAGGCTTGCCATGGAGACATGTGGCTAAATCCTGGGTTCAGAGGAAATCTCAGCTCTGGGCATTACACAGTAGATTGGTAGGAACAGACAGAGCTGGACAGCTCCCAGACCTGCTACCCATGCAGCATTGAATCCTGTGCAGTTGGCGTTTACAGTTCTAAAACAGCAACAGAAAAAGTACCTAACAGCTAAGGGAGAATATCTAATCCCTCATCTGACTTTCTCTTAAAAAATTAAAAAAATTTTCCTTTGCCTTTCCTCTCTGCTTTTGAATAGTGGAGTTTACTTATTTCATTAGAAAACATAATAAGCCTGCTATAAAAACTGATTTTATCCTCAGGGCAATGACGCATCCTACTCAGGAGTTGCCAGTCAGGAAGCTTAGGTGGGAGGATTCGAAGTTCAAGTGCAGTCTCGGCCAACTTAGCAAGCCCCTGTCTTCTCAAAAGGGGTGGGATGTTGCTTGGGGTAAGGCCCTCCTGGGTTTAATGCTCAGTAAAAATTTAAAAAGGAAAAAAGCAAAACAAGCCTAATCTTACAGTCCCTTTAAAAAATGTATTCTACAATCCCTTTACCATACCAGAGCAGTCAAATTACAATACAAATCATTCTATAGAGATCATAGAAGATAGAAAGGTATCAATTATTTGTCTCTTTCCCTGCTGTGTTCTTTCAGGCTGTTGAAGTTGAACAAGACCTCACTTCCATCTTGTGAGGTGAGAGTCCTAGCTCATCTTGCATAAACTTGAGATGGTCACTTGGATTTTATCTCCATGGCAACTAGTGTATTTGTGACTCTATTCTTGGCTGTCAGGTAATATTAGAAAAGCCAGAACATTTTTATTACCATAATGTGTGTCATCCAAATGTCATTTATTTGAAATCTTGGAAACTAGGTTATCAATGAAATAGGGTGAGTTTTGAGGTTATCCTACTATGTAGTAAAGAGTAGCAGAGGAGGCCTTGCATAAGACAGTGGCTGAGAATTATCTAGCACTTGCTATGAGCCAGACACTTTTCCCATTTAATTCTCCCCAACATTCTGCTAGGTGAGGGCAGTGAAGGAATTTTTAATCATTGTAGTGGTTCATGGAAGGCATTTAACACCCCGTCCACCCAAAAAAATCTGTCCTTGAACAAAGGAAAACTGGCTTTTTCGATGCCCAGGGGTTGCAGAGTTCTGGCCCTCCAATCTGCAGGCCTTGGCATTTTGAGCAAGGAAGGAATGCACAAAAACACCTGAGGCTGACTCACATCTACCTGATTCAGGTATACCTACCTGCACTCCCATACACGGTGTCAGGTGGTTGTCAGAACCGCCCTCCTACAGAGATTTGGGGAAAGCACTAGACCAGTTAGTGTCTCCGGGTCTGAGCGAGACGATGAGTGTCGCAACCTGGCCCCTGCCACCTCACCTGGCCAAGAATTACACCCAACCGGGAGTGGAGTCAGCCTTGAAGGCATAGTAACTCAAATTTATTACCTGGGGGGTGACTTTTATAGCAGAGGAAAGCAGGAAGTAGAGGAGAGATGAGGTGGGACCCAATAAGAAATATGCCCATCCCTGTTGCTAGGGATTTATTCTAATATCCTGCTACGTTTGCAGAAGCCATATCTCATAACTGTACAGGCACGTATACGGAAGCCATTTCTCAAACTCAAATCGCCACATTCATGGAAATATCATAAGACCAGAGTCACAAGACTGTTTCCTCACACACCTGCAGCTCTGTGGCAAGTAGAGGCCCCAACAGGTGGTGGCCATTGGTTTTAGTATAGCCCTTGAAGCAAGCTGTATGGGAAGTTACAGAGTGGTGAGTCTGAAATGGGATCCAGAGTGAGTTTGATGATGTAAAAATGTTAGTCTCTTAGTCCTCTCATCCTTGATGAAATGAGTCTCACCAAACTCTCTCAGAGAATGTTTGAATTAGAACTACCCACGATTCTCTATTCCTTTTCATTTCTGTCATACTTACATACCTCCTGCTTTTCCCATCACCTTTCTTCAGATGTGGCTTAACAGAATTGCTTAGGTACATGTTTGATTAAATCACAATCTCATTTCAACTTCACCTCACCTCACCTCACCTCTTTAAGGTTCCTTCTCTCTAGTCACTTGAGCTGGAGCTTAGGGTGTTTCCTGATTCACTGCCACCTATTTAGGAAGTCTTTGGGTGTGTTCTATAGATGACTGACCATAGGAGCATGGCAGAAGGATTTCACTACTTTAATTTTCATTGGAAAACTGTCCTTCATATTAGGAGATGACTGGTGGTTTTCCCCATGCCCAAACAGTGGTATTACCATGCTACATATCCCTTCGTGTTCTTATTACAAGGCAATGGCCCCTTTAAAAAAAAAAAAAAAAGAGCAGTCTGTATTCAGAGCAGGTTAATCCTGCTATGTTCTGGAAACCTGGCAGAATCATTAATAAGGAAACCAGTTGCGTGTAGATTTAAATTAATCAGCAAGCATCCAGCAGCTAGAAACCTAAGGGGAGGGGAGACTCTTTCTCCTTGAAAAGAGAAAACACACTCCCATCTCATTGAGAACACACACACACACACACACACACATTTATGGAGAAACAGATATATGGTGTGGCCATAATCTTTTCTCCCTTGTGGTTTCTGTCCAGCAGTGTGGAAGAAAAAGTTTAAATCTCTGAAAGACGAGCTGCCATTCAGGTGAATGATTTCAGGTGGTAAAGGATCCAGAGACTGTGATGGCTTATGTTCACCATTGTGAAGAGAGTTACTTGGGCTTCAACTCTAGGAGCACAGGGAGCCGTGTTCAAGGTTCGGGATCAGATTAGGTAGGAGCCGAGACAGAGAAGTAGGGAACAGAGAAAGCACGGAGCTGGATGCAGGGAAGCTAGCATCTGTCACCAGCACCTTAGGCCAGCCCTTCTGAGAAGCTGGACTTGGGAAGGTGAAGATCAGTCCTAACTCGGGAGTTCTGTTTCTCTCTTTACTTAACACAAATGGAAACCAGAAGCAGTTAACAACTGAACCACTGTGGGCGTTTGACATTTGGCCAAGTCATTAAGGCCCTCAAAGTTTGGATGAATTCTGTATAAGTCAAAAAAGATTCAGAACAAATTATAAACCTCTTTATTTTGTATAGTTGGAAATTGATGAGATGCCCAGTTTATCTTTTCACTTTCTCATGTACCCTTTAACCATCGTACTTCTTTATATAAGTACTTTCTTATTAACATTAATCACTCCTGTTTTTTATTTTAAAGGCCTAACTTAGTTAAAAAAAAAAAAAGAAAAAGAAAACATGTAGTTGCCACTTAGGCTTTAGCTATTTGATATTTTTGGAAAAATTTCTGTATGAATCACGAGAACATCACACATAGCAGATAAAATATTGATCAATGTACCAGAGGATTTCTTTCTAAGCTCCCCCTACCCCCTGCTTCTGACAAGAAAGATGATTTGGACAAATCTTCCTCCTCCTTGAGCCTCAACCTCTTGGAGCCTCAGTCTCTTGTGAATAATTAGGGATAAGAAAACAAATATGCTTTATCTGGGCCACAAGTTTATTATAGTAATCAAATAAAGTCAAATCTATTTAGAAGTCCTAGATAAATTAGAAATTACTATGAAACTGTGTAGTTCTTGTATTTTCAAAAAAAAAAATGTTTTTATGGCTGTGCAGCTCTGTCTCCATCTATGAGGTGTTGAGATTTATCCTATAAAAACGGGACATGTCACTCATTCTCGGGGCCCTAGCTGTGAGGCAGAGCTCTGCTGGCTGTGATGTTTACACTGTGCTGATGCACCCCTGGTTCAGGGCTACCTGGGCAAGACAGGGATACCCTTTGTTCACCAGAGCAGTTCCACTTTTATTGGACTTAGTTGGTTTTCTGAATAAACTTTCATTGATTGGAAGGACTCTTGGGCTAAACAGAAAAAAAAATGACATTGGGAAATGATTGAATTAGATAATTTATCATTTCCTGTCAAAAGTTCATGACTGTAGATCCATTATCATTTTTTTTTTTTTTTGCCATTGCTATCATAGTAGAGGCATTGCCACCACCAGTGACAGTGTCCCTGAAGAGAAGGCATAGAACTTGAGAGAAAACATCAGCTCTTGGGAATTTGGCCAGTTTTGCAGATCTAAAGGAGCAGAGTGATGAAAATCATACAAAGTCTTTATTCAGGTCAGGCTAAGTGTTCTGTCACACATGGGCCACTACTGCAGTAAGAAGGTGCCTCTGAGTTGGTGTGCCCAATCACCAGGCGTCTGCTCTGGGCACGACCATGTGAAAGGCTCACTACTTTCCTAGGGTGTATGTCCTTCCTCAGTGGCACCCACAGTCCTCCCTCACGCCCCCCCCCCCCCCGCTGACTCTGCACGATGCCAATCTCTCAGCGCTCCATGTGTGAAACTAGCAAGATGCCATCTAACCTCTTTTGAAGATATTGGCTTATGTGTGTTTGTTTAATAAAATTGAGAAAATCTAACTTGGATGAAATATTTCACAGATGAATGATAATTGGTGGATAGAGACTGGTGGTAGAAGTGGAAGTGTGACCAAAAGAACAGTTTCATCAGGTCCTGTGTTACAGGTATGGTTGAGCCCGAAAAACGGTTGCTAACTAGAAATCTGGCCTGAGATCAAGACCTCAGGCATTTGAGGTGGAAGAAAAGCTCTCTCATCTCTCTCTCTCTCGTCCTCTTTCTAGACATAGAAATAGATATATAGATATACATACAGTCTCCATAGAAATTGATATCTTTATATATCTATAGGAATAGATATTCATATCCATGATATTGATATGGATATATTATAGACAGATTGATATGTATAGAAATATAGGTATGTGTAGATATGTATAGAAATACATATGTATTTCTAGATAGAGATCTAGGTATTAAGGTGTGTTTATATCAATATGTGTAGGTATCTCTAAATATAGATGTTTAACCATAGATATCTAGAAATAGATACATATGTATAGATTGGATTAAGATAATAGAAAAACAGTAGAAATGTATTCATATATATAATGAGGCGATAAAGCAATACAAGCTTAAAAAGCAGTATTAAACAAAGCATTATTCATTTTTGCCATATGTCCCCAAACTATCATTACCATTTGAAGTCACATTAACCCTTTCATGTTAATTACAGATTAGTTAATATATTAAAGTAGAACTTACTCTTAAGATAACTCACTGTATTAAATTAGTACTGATTTAAAAGATTCTTCAGAGTCTTCCATGTGTCTATCTTTTGAATTCTTTTCCTCTATGAGGGGATTTACCTGCATGTGATATGCCTTGTGGTTCTCCTGCAGATTATTTTTCATAGTATTGATTGCTGCTGGTTCCCTAATTCCACAAAGTTTCCTCAGGCTGTTGTAGACAAACATGACAAGTCTGACACTAATATTATTGGGAAATAGTTTTGATACTGTGTTAATCTGAGCCACAACGAACACAAATACTGCAAACACGTAAAATATATTTTATATTTTCTTTAATATTATTCAATATTATATAACCCTGTTGTACTCTACTGAAAACCTTTAATACAGTTTTCATATAAAAGGATTTTAAAGACTTGGGTTAAAATAATGGAAAAGCGGGAGTTGAAATTTTCTTGTTTATCAATATTATGTTCTTATCTCTTTCCTCCAGTCCAACACAACCTATAAGGCTGACACGGTAGTTATTTTAAATTGCTTCTTAGTGGCTCTTGCTCTAATACTTGCAATATCTATTAAAAATCTTAATGAAGGGGATTATAAACCTTCTTGGTAAAGATAAACAATATAAATGTTTCGATTAAAATGGATAAACTGAAATGGATTTTGAAGCTGGGATAACAGCAGCCAGCAGGGTAGAGATTTTCTTCCTCTAGAAGACAAACTTCTACTATTTTAACGTGGAATCTGGAAGTCTGGCCCTGGGTTATTTTAAAAAGCACACTGATTTCATTAGATGGTGGAAATTATTGGCATTTCTCTTGCATTAAGGAAAACATCTGTGTGCTCCGAGTGTGGGGACAGTTCATGTTAACGTTTTGTTGTTTCCTATGTTTCTCAGGTTTGGAGGCTTAAAGTATCTGAAGAACATATAAAGAAAGCTGATTAATGCTCAATATTTTAAACTTTTTCTGTTGATTTTGTTTAGGAAGTGGTTGAGCTACATAGCATGAAAAACAGGGAAGATTCAAGGCAAGATCTGAATGGAACTAAAGTTTGGCTCAATTTATATTTGTTAAACACATATACAGACATGTATAATATACATATATGAATAATAAAATAGAATTTACTTTATATACTGCTTTATAGCCTTCTGTTTATCATTATTTTATGGATTTTCACATGCCAATAAAAGTACCACATCTTTCTTGCCTTTTACAAATTAGGTACTCAATATATATTTTTTAAATGAATTTTTAGTTGTAGGATATATATTTGATAAGCTTGTATGATGTTATAAATTGAAATTGGAATATATATGAAATGTGGGAACATCACTATTCTAGAATACAGGTTTTAAAATATATATATACCCCTCTGATGCAAATAAGAACTAGTCTCTCTGGAAGGATCTTGTGTGATATACACATAGAAATCTCATATGTATATCAATTTTTATTTTTATCAGTGTAATTACATATTTACCATGTTTTGAAGGGAATATAGAATGGAGAAAGGCATCATTAGGACTCTCTTGGGGGATTTGTTTATGGCAATCAATATTAATCATTCTTTAGAGCTCAGCTCAAGTCATATGTGTTGATCTCATTCATCCTATTGTTTCTTCCAGGACCTCAGATCAGCAATTTTGCTTGCTCACCTCCTTTCTATGACTTCATGATTAGACATGTGTGTTTCAACCACACAAATCTGTGTGTGATTTTTCCAAAACACAAAATTTTCTGTCAAGTTCCTTCTTATTCTCAGATGTCTTTTCCAACTCTCCACTCTTTTTTTTTTTTTTTACTCTTAATTAAGTTTCAAATATCTGCCAAAATATCTGTGCTAGAAAGCTTTCTTGGGACTTCTTTAGGTAAAACTTCTCATTCCTTTCTTTGTGCTTCCAAATCACCTGATATATGCCTGTTTGTAAACACTTAGCACAGTGCTGTCATTATTACGTGTTAGTGTTTGTCTCCCTATATTCTTTAGAATTCATTTTTATGTCTGTAGCACTGAGAAGTTTCTGGAAAATAGGAAATAATATAACCAACACATGACCAGGACTTCATGGCAGACCTCCACTCTTGAAGACAAACTCTTTGTTCATGAACTCTCCAGAAAATAAATTTCACTTCAGAAAACGATAGTAGTAATAGAAGTTTCAATAAAGGTTTTGGGAAAAGAGGAGGATCAGGACATTATATCAAACACCAAATCTTTAACAACTTGATTAAAAAACCTCAGCACCCCCCCCTTTTATTTTTTATTTTTTTGGTCAAGCTTCTCTTCTGTATTCTCCAAGTAGAACACATCAAACTCTTCATGTATACATGGTGGGTTGGTGACTAGTGGATACCAGTTGCATGTTAGTGCATACAGATGTTAAAAGCTTAAACTGCTTATAAGTAGCCACTCTGATGATGCAAAATTATTCAGGACCCTCAATGACCTGGACCTACCATCTTTGGCAGCTCCCATCTGTGCCTTGTGTTTTGTGGTTCGAATAGAGATGTTCCCTGATGTGGTTTCCTTATATAAGTATTTTCTTTTTTCAGTAGTTCAGTGACTTCCATCTTTGACTGGATAATCTCAACCCATTCTTCAAATTTTGTAAGACTCCTTACATAAAAATGATGAGTGGCCCTTTTATGAACATGTATGTCTAAGGGAATATTAGGGGGAGGAACTACAGAAAAAAAAAAGAATATGCCCTATGCTACAAACTAAAAAGACATGGGAGGGGAGGTACAAATGTTAACCAACTCTATTTCATACTTCTGCTGGTCTATGAGACTGTCAAAGGTAGAAATATCCTGTGGCTTTTGCCTGATATATAATAACTGCTCAATAAATTGTTGACATTAACTGCATTCTATTCCATATAGAATGTGATCTTTTTCTGAGATCACAGCTGCCATAACTTGGCACTTGTACTGATAATAGGTTAGTTACTGTAAATGCTTCAGAATTTCTCATTTTTTTGCCACCCAAAATTGCAGACCATGTTCATTCAGGTAAATCTATGAATAGTTTCTATAATGTAAAACTTTTTAGAATAGTTCATAAGGAATTCAATTATTGTGGGTCACTTCAAAATTTGAAGCTTGTTAATAACATACTAAATCTTGTAGATGATTATGTGGAGATCTGGCAGAGATCAGGATATTCAATTTGGTACAATTAGGAAAATCTGTCTTTGTTTAAACAAAGTTGTAATCTGTAGGAAAATCACTGTGAAGCTCTATTATATGTAAAGATGGAGATTATTATTAAATGGAATTAAGTTCCATTTAATGCTAAATATTTGATACAGTTACCTTGATTATCTACACCAGAAATTGGCAAACTACAGCCAGTGAGATAATTTGGACTACCACCTCTTCTTGCAAATCAAGTTTTATGAATACAAGCCAATATCATTCTTCACATATCTACAGCTGCTTTCACTGTCAGAGATGAGTAGTTGCAACAGAGCTGGAGACTCATGACCTACAAAATCTAAAATATTTATTCTAACCCTTTATATTAAATACGTGCTGACCCTAATCACATCCCATTTTGTTTTTCCTCTAGTTCACAACTGAAACTAAATGAAATAAGCAATATAAATTTTAAAAAGATCAAAATTTTTGATCTATATAACATTGAATATCAAATTTTAAGAGTGATTAGGCTTTTCTGTCTGGTATGTAAACAACTCTGGGATGCTACATGAGTTGATGTGAAGTCTGAAGATTGAATAATGATGTTCCTTATCATGAACAGTGAACTGGAAAGTGTCTTGTTTCCTCTCTCCTGCATGAGAGCCATGGCCTACAATATTCTTCACTCCTGTTGTGTCCTCAGTCACTTTGGCCTTAAATGCACGGGTGATGTGACAGCTAAGTCAACAAAATTGGGAGATTCTTTTGTATGTTTGGTAAGAAATTAGATACTAAGCATAACAATTACATCTGTTATTCAAATTAAAATAAGTAAGAAGACTATATGGGAAACAATTAAAAATCTAATGCTGGGAAAATAGCTGATATTTATTCCCCCAATCAATGATATCATTCAACTAAAATTATAATTCCTCAGTTACACTAGAAATATTTGCTGTGAGTTATCTCCCTTGGCAGAGGTATTATGGAGCTATTTAAGAACTTCACTCAGATGCATAATTTGTATATCTTTGAGGAAGTGTGGTATTTATTTTCATTGTATTCTGACAGCCTACCCATATGATTATGCATTATGATTATTCTCCTTTTCAGAGCCTTATCACACTTTACAAAATTAATGCAGTGTATCCACTATCACCATTTTTTAAAAATTGAGTATTTTCAATCAGTAGACCTAACCAAACAAATAGTTCTATATTCTATGACATTTTTTCTACCTTGGCAGAATTGAGTACTGTTTTTTTTTTCCTTTTGATTTAAACAAACAAAAAGGAAAGGAAACTGAAAAAGCTTAACCTGTCAACAAAAGTAACTAAGATGTCAAAAATAAAAGCTTTCTGATATTCATAATGATTCTGGAAACACTGGGGGGTATTTAATTTAGAAAGCAGATATTTCAAAATGAGAAATTTCAGCGTTTTGTGGAGATCACATTTGCCTTTTGATTTTCCATTGTCTTCCTATTGTATTTGAGTTGTAGAAGAATTCTGTGTTGATAGGCATTCCTTTTCATGATTTTTATTTTTTTAATCTTTTGGGCAAGTGGAACTGAGAAGTGAAAGGGTCTGAGAAAAATTGGATCCAAGAAAAATCTTGTTTAAAACTTGAGTTAATATTTGAAATATATTGAAGGTACAACTTGGAATGGATCTTAATCCTCCAGTTGTTGCCTCCTGTTCAGCTCTGCGTTGGCAGGTTGGCCTTTGTTTGTCTGGAGGTTGGCATGATGGATGAGCTGGGGCCAGGCCAACGTGTTTAAGTAAAGCTGGGGAGTCCCTGGGTGAGCGGAACACAATTCATGGAAAGCCTTGGGAACATTCAGCAGCTGTATTGCTACTTGCCCCATCAAGGAGACTGATTGGCCCAAATCGCATCCCACTTTTATTTTTGAAAGAGAAAACAAAGTAATTTGAGGGTAGTCTCCCAAACTTTGAACTCGGTTTTTATTCAAGCAGAAAACTTTGAATTTCTTTCTTGAAAACAGCAACATAAACACATGGAGAATTTATAGTGAAGAATACTCTAGGCTCCAAACTCATTACAGACTTTCCCATCTGGCCTGAGATGGCAAATAGAATTACCTTCATTTCACAGGCAAGAAAATAGAGGTAGAGAGAGAAGAAATGATTTGGGCAAATTGGAAAGGGAGGAAATTGAGTTTCAGTCTCTTGGCATTGGTTTATCTAACCCAGAAGAGAAAACTTTGAGTCACTTGGAGATTTTGTTTTGCTGTTTTGTTTACACAGTCCAGATGGCATTCACCATGTCTTCACGTGGAAATCCCTTCAGTGACTGGAAACCTGTAGTGGGGCAACCTATTTAATCTTTGCACACTTTAAGATTCCCTTTTACCATAACTTAAAATCTCTCCCTTATCTTCTGTTCAATAGTTCTAAAAGTTTTACTCTTTAGAGCCTTAGGGAACAGGTCTAAAATTTTCTGTCAGAATATTTAAAGACACTAATCACTTTCTCCCTGGGTTAGAATATCGTAAGTCCTTCCATGTTTCCCTGCTGAGTGTGATTTTAGGGTATTCTGTATTCTTGTTTATCTTCCTGATTTAGTTTTTAATAATCTGCAAATCCAAAGCAAAAATGCATTTTTGGGTGGTGGTGGGGGGGATGTCCTTCTTCCTCGTTTGTGTGCTTCTATGATTGTAGCCTAGGTTCGCATTCTCTTTTGGTGGTGGTGGTGATCATGTTACTCTATTTACTCAAACTCAGTTAATAGACAATGAAAATCTTTAAGATCTTATTATATGTACTGTTTTGTGTACATCATTTCCTCATCTTTTTTTCAGGGTTGGTTGCATGTCTAGTCTAAAGGACACATTTATTTCTGTAAAATTTCATTTTATTAATCTTGAATTTTAAGTCCAGTATAACAAACTTTGGAGTTTGATTATAATATCTAGCATGCTTTTTATCTATTTCAAGCTT